CTTCTCGCTCTTTCTTTCGTGACCGCACTGTCCTTGAGCCACTCGCTCGGCCAGTTGCTGTCTCCCTTGCTGACCCCTCTGGGGGTCCGGTCATTGCGACCTCCTCCACTGTCCTTCCTTGTCCGGCGGTCCCGTCCGGCACGCTGTCAGGTCTCTACCTCCCCTCGTTCTCTACGAACTTGGTGGCGGGTAGTGCGCTCCAGGACGGGGGTGTTCACCAGTTCACCCCTGCCTACGAGCGCGTGACACACTGCACGTGTGCTCGGACGGGTCGCCACCTGGCTACCTTCACTCGGGAGCCGGGGTCGGACCTTTACACACTGACCACTGACTCCCCTCAGGTAGCTGCGTCCGCGTCTGCGTCTGCGTCAGGTCAGCTGTCCGCCCCCTGCTCGTGTCGCTCTCTGGCGCATGAGACTGTCCTTTGGCACCACCGCCTTGGTCACCCGTCTGTGCAGCGCCTTCGGGCCATGCACAAACGGGACCTTGTTGCTGGGCTTCCCAGGGTGCTCCCTCCCCTTCCAGCCTCACCTGCTCCTCCCTGTCTTCCCTGTGTCGAGGGGCGGCAGCGCGCCGCTCCTCACTCCTCCTCCTTTCCCCCGACGACTGCTCCTTTGCAGACGCTCCACATGGACGTGTGGGGCCCAGCCCGCGTCCGTGGCCAGGGTCAGGAGAGGTACTTCCTGATTGTTGTTGACGACTTCTCGCGCTACACCACGGTCTTCCCCTTGCGCACCAAGGGTGACGTCCCTGATGTCTTGATCCCTTGGATCCGCAGATCTCGTCTCCAGCTCAGTGAGCGTTTCCACTCCGACTTCCCTGTCCTGCGTCTGCACTCTGACAGAGGTGGAGAGTTTTCCTCTGGCCTCTTGGAGGCCTTCTGTCAGCAGGAGGGCATTGAGCAGTCGTTCACGCTTCCGGCCTCTCCACAGCAGAATGGGGTTGCTGAGCGCCGCATTGGCTTGGTCATGGAGGTCGCTCGTACCTCCTTGGTTCATGCGGCTGCCCCCCACTTTCTGTGGCCGTTTGCAGTCCGATACGCTGCGCATCAGCTCAACCTTTGGCCCCGTGTCTCCTTGCCCGAGACTTCTCCGACACTGCGTTGGACGGGAGAGGCTGGCGATGCGTCGCATTTTCGGGTCTGGGGATCCCGAGCTTTTGTCCGCGACACGTCCGCGGACAAGCTCTCCCGTCGCGCTGTCCCCTGCGTCTTCCTTGGCTTTGTCCCGGACGCCCCTGGTTGGCAGTTCTACCACCCCACCTCGCGTCGTGTCCTTGCCTCTCAGGACGTCACTTTTGACGAGTCCGTCCCCTACTACCGCCTCTTCCCCTACCGCACTGCCCCGCTCCCCCCCCCCGCCTCTCTTCCTCGCTCCAGGTGCTGAGGTACCAGACCCCCTCCCCCCTCAGGGTGCCGCTCCCTCAGGTGTGTCCCAGGTAGACCCGGGTGAGCCTGTCGAGGTAGCTGTTGACTCTCGTCCTGCTAGGGGTGCTGAGCCTGGGGGTGCTGCGTCTGGGGGTGCTGAGCCTGGGGGTGCTGCGTCTGGGGGTGCTGAGCCTGGGAGTGCTGAGTCTGGGGGTGCGGAGCCTGGGGGTGCTGAGCCAGGAGGTGCGGAGCCTGGAGGTGCGGAGCCTGGAGGTGCTGAGTCTGGGGGTGCTGGGTCTGGGGGTGCTGCGTCTGGGGGTGCTGAGCCTGAGCGTGCTACACCTGGAGGAGCCCTCTCCTCCCAGCAGCTGCAGGAGAGGTACCTCGAGTACTGCCGCCTCCGGAGAGGTGCTGCTGGAGCTCGTCCCGGTACTTCCCCTCCTACCCAGGAGCTCCCCCCCATTCAGCAGATCCGCGAGTGGTACACACGGCGCTGCAGTCTTCGGAGTGGTGCTCCTGGTGCTGCGGACCCTGGGGGTGGCGCTGCTGCTGGTGCTGAGGACCCGGATGTGGGGGCTGCTGCTGGTGCTGCGGACCCGCCTGGTGGAGCTACTGCTGGTGCTGAGGACTCGGACGTTGGAGCTGCTGCTGGAGCTGAGGACCCGGACGGTGGAGCTGCTGCTGGTACTGAGGACTCGGACGGTGGAGCTGCTGCTGGAGCTGAGGACCCGAGCGGTGGCGCTGCTGCTGCTGCTGAGGACCCGGGCGTTGGAGCTACTACTGGTGCTGAGGACCCGGCCGGTGGAGCTGCTGCTGGTGCTGTGGACCCGGCCGCTGGAGTCTCCTCTGCTTCTGGAGACGCTGCGCGGCCGCGACCGTACTTCGTACCGCTCCTTCAGCAGGTTCTTGGGCAGGCTCCTCCTCCTTGTCCTCCTCCCTCCGTAGAGTGTCCTCTGCCTGTCCAGCCGCAGTCACAGTTACCGCCTACCTCGCCTCTCCCTGCTCCCTCTCCTTACACTGGTCCCACAGGAGGTCTTACAGAGCGTCGTGAGCCTGAGTCTCATCCTGCGTCGCCTGTTCGACCCGCTCGCACTGGTAGTCGTGTCCGTCGTGAGCGTCCTCCTCCTGTCCCAGGCACTCACTACATGACTCTGCGTCCCTCTACTGCTCCTCAGCGTGTCCCTCTACCGTCTCCTCCTGCGTCTTCTTTGCCTCATGTTCCGGACCCTGAGTCTGACCGGTACCGTGCTGAGCACCCTACTGTCACGCGTCTCCTCGCTACTGTTGTCATTGACCCTACCTTTGAGTCCTCGGCTGCGTCTGCTCTGGTCGCTGAGTTGGTTGACTTTGCTGCTGCCTGTCGTCTAGACTACGCTGCTAGCCTTGTTGCTGAGTCTGAGTCTGTGTCTGTCTGTCCTCCGTCCGTCGGGGGTGAGTGTGCTCTTGGCACGGACGTCCTTGAGGACAGACAGGAGGAGTTCCAGTGTCTTGCTGCTGCTTTGCCCCGTCTCGTGTCCTTGCTAGTTGCCCCTGAGGGAGACCCGGATGCACCAGACATCCCGACCCTGCGCACTTACGCTGAGGCGATGGCGGGTCCCTACTCCTCTCAGTGGCAGACAGCCATGGACGCCGAGATGGCTTCCTGGAAGTCCACACGCACCTACGTCGACGAGGTTCCCCCTCCTGGGGCGAACATCGTCAGTGGCATGTGGATTTTCAGGGTGAAGCGGCCGCCGGGTTCTCCGCCTGTCTTCAAGGCGCGTTACGTGGCTCGAGGCTTCAGTCAGCGAGAGGGAGTTGATTTCTTCCAGACCTTCTCCCCCACCCCGAAGATGACTACTCTTCGGGTGCTGCTGCACATAGCCGCTCACCGCGACTACGAGCTTCACTCACTTGACTTCAGCACTGCTTTCTTGAAGGGCAGCCTGCACGAGGAGATCTGGCTGCGCCGCCCACCTGGCTTCACTGGGTCGTTTCCTCCTGGTACCCAGTGGAGGCTTCAGCGGCTGGTCTACGGTCTCCGCCAGGCTCCGCGTGAGTGGCACGACACACTGAGGACTACACTTGCGGCTCTTGGGTTCGCGCCTTCTACAGCTGACCCGTCGCTGTTCCTGCGCACCGACACTTTGCTGCCGCCGTTCTACATCCTCGTGTACGTCGACGACTTGGTCTTTGCCACTGCTGACACTGCAGGACTCGCCTACGTGAAGTCGGAGCTGCAGAGGAGACACACGTGCACAGACCTGGGTGAGCTGACAAGCTATCTTGGCTTGCGGATCACCCGGGACAGAGCACGGCGCACCATCACCCTGACTCAGTCACACATGGTGCAGCAGGTTCTCCAGCGCTTCCGCTTCACGTACTCCTCGCCTCAGTCCACTCCTCTGCCTACCGGTCACTCGCTCTCAGCTCTGCCTTCGGATGAGTCCGTAGAGCCGAGTGGCCCGTATCCAGAGCTTGTGGGCTGCCTCATGTACCTGATGACATGCACTCGACCTGACCTTGCATACCCTCTTAGCATCCTTGCACGCTATGTCGCTCCTGGCCGTCACAGGAAGGAGCACATGGATGCCGCTAAGAGGGTGTTGCGCTACTTGTGCAGTACGTCGGGCATGGGACTTGTGCTTGGAGGGCGAGACCGAGTTGTTCTCACAGGGCACTCAGACGCTTCTTGGGCAGACGACCAGGCCACTCAGCGGTCGTCTCAGGGTTACACCTTCAGCCTTGGCTCTGGCTCAGTTTCTTGGCGCTCTACACGCTCTTCTTCTGTTCTCGGCTCCAGTTGCGAGGCTGAGATCTACGCTACAGCCATGGCTGCCCAGGAGCTACGCTGGCTGACCTACCTGCTGACCGACCTCGGAGAGCCGCCTCGTTCTCCTCCAGTACTGTACGTCGACAACAAGGCTGCCATTGCCTTGTGTGAGGAGCACAGACTGGAGCACAGAACGAAGCACATCGCCCTGCGGTACTTCCTTGCTCGTGAGCTGCAGCAGCACGGTCAGCTTTGTATTCGCTACGTGGCCACTGAGGCCAACACTGCTGATGTGTTCACCAAGGCGCTTCAGCCTCGTGACCATCAGCGCTTCTGCACTCTACTAGGCCTTGTGCCTACTGGACCTCACTTACTTACCTCTTGACTTTGCTTGTACTGTGATCACTATATATATCTATACCTGCATGTTTACTCTTGCTAGGTTGTGATCACTGTATCTCTTGCTTTGTTATAAACCTGCATGTGAATTGGTCTTGTGACCACTAGCTTGTGCTCGGAATTTGTGTGGAATCCTTGAGATCCACCCTGAGCTTGCCTTCCTTTGCTTTGACTGGTCTCGTGACCCTGTGGTTGTCTCCCACTGCGCCTATGGGGGTGTGTCAAACATTATATGTTTATATGATTGTAGGCTGTAGTGGGTTACACCTTAGGGGGTACACTAGATTAGGGTTTACTACTTGTATCCAACTTTGTGCTAGTACAGTCATTCCTGTCCGTTCATTCTGACAATCTGGTCATAAGAAGAAAAAACATTTAAGGGGCCACCCCATGTGTCTACTGAATTAGCGTCAATTGCGTCCATATCAGCGCACATGGCCTCACTTGGCCCACATGTCACGGCAATGGAACAGCCCACCACACTCATTCCGTCAGCAGGAACTTGTTCAGGAGCATGACACGCTTGTTCACATAGGACTTGCACACGTGCACCACCCTCTGGATGCACTCCACGGGAACCACCGCGTATCTTGTTCTCACACGGCCGGGAGACAGCTGCAGGCATGACGTCATCGGGCACGTGCCCTCTGCCTCGTAGTACTTAACGTACACGTGTCGCCTCATCTCCCCATCTGCCCCCTCTGCGCGGAAGATGCAGAGGCACCTGGCATACCACTCCTCTTTGTCGGACCGGTACACTGCGATGTCTGAAAACCACCGCTCAGAAGGACTGGCCTTCACAAATGTGCCCTTGGGCACAAGCACCCCCCCTCCGTGTTCGGGGGATCGCCACGGCTGTGTGCACCTGCGTACGCCGGGACACAGACAGAGTATAGTGGATGCGGTGTGATGGTGACACAAGGCCGTGGCCCAGACTTCACACCTGCTATTACCTTCACCTGCTATTAACCATCACCCAGCCACCTTCTCGAACGACATTTCCCACCTCGATGGTGGTGGTGTGGATGCCTGCCGCCACCATGCACCCGGCGAGTGCGTCCATGTCTGACCCGTGAGCTGCGCGGTACGCCCACATCACCGCGTCCATGTCTTCGTCCACGTGCGCCCTCTTTGAAGTCTTCGTCAGCACTGGCTTCATGCGCCGCACTGCTTGTGTGCAGGCAACAACATGCGAGCGACGTGTGAGAACCCGGGTTCAGAGGGCAATCTCCTTTATACAGCACATCGTGGCCCTGGTACACAACCCTCTACGCTCACCTCGCGCAGCGCCGTCACATACTGCCTGTTTCCACCCGCTTCCGCCGCCACCTCCCGACGTCTGGTCAGGGAATGCGTCCTTGATCGCCGCCACCATCCTGCGCGTGCGCATAGGAGGCATGATTAGGCACCCCAGGCACACTTGATGCGCCACATACCTAATAGGAGCAACCGGATTGTACGTACTTCACGGCCATCTCCCGGACGTCGTCCAGGGACTTCTTGGTATGCTTTGTCACGCCCACCAGCGCCTTGTAGAAGCTGGCGTACGCCACAAACGCCGCCACCTTCCGTTCCCGTTTCGCCTTAGCCGGCTGCTTGCTCTTTTCCATGTTGTCTGCGATAAGCAGGGGTATCACCTGCATCATTCCCCTGTGCTCGAAAGCGGCGTAGTTCGCCCCTGTGCTGAACCATGTGGTCCCCCCCGGGATGCGCACTACGCTTGCGCGCGTGTCCTTCTTCTGTTCCTTGCGCCGCCTGCCATGGTTGGGTAGGAGTGTCAGCAACTCACTCGGTTAGACAACAACGGTGTCGCCATTTCCATGCATACCCACCTCTCAAACTCGCACCTCTCCGGCTTGCTCTTCCCAGCCATGAAGCACTTGCCCATGCGCGGTAGCATCCCCCCGTCCAGGACGTGTAGAAGGTCTGCCGCGTATGCGAGAAACATGTTTCCCCACGTGGTCTCGGCGAAGTTCCATCTTTCCAAGTAGCACTGCCACACGCAAAGACGACACGGATGTGACCAGGCGCTGCGTCGCCCCCCCGTGTGCACATTCACATGAGAAAGCACGAACACATTATGCATTGGAAACCGCCACCTGCACCGGGTGTGTTGACCATTGTTTCTTGATTTTCTCCGCCGCCTTGCTGTCGGTCGCCGACTGAATTGCTTCCACTACCCGTCTCTGTAGCTCCACCGTCCGCGTCACCGACTTATGCGACAGGTCTGCCAGATGTGTCTCCTTCATGTAGCAGGTAGAACACGGCCGATGTGACCCTTGCTGCAGAGTCACTGTAGACCGAGACGACTCTGGGAAGTCCCCCAGCTGCCCGAAAAGACAGAGAAAGGCCTTCACCACCTTGCCCGTCGCGTCCGTCACATAAAACCATCGCAATTCGGCCCTGCACACGGCGACATTGGAAGTTGTACACTTGTAAGTCATATCATGGCTGTCAAGCTCCACTTCTAGGCCCGCTCACCCTCTGTGTGCGCGGAGTAGGGGCTCGAATATGACCTCCATGCACTGCTGGAAGATGCGCGTCTTCTCGGTGGATGAGGCCCACTCTGGCGGGAACGGCAGCACACCAGCCAGTACGTGGCTCGGCTCCTGCCATCGGAGCGCTTCTGGGATGTTGAACAAGCTGATCAGGACAGGCCATGCCGCCAGTCTGCCATTCCTCGAGGCGTGCGTGCTGTCGCTGTACACAATCACACCCAGCACAATGCAGTCCTCCTCTCCAATCGCGGCCTGCACACACGCTGGACCCAGCCGTCAGTGACGCGCGAGCTGCCCATCATCACCCACCCATACGATTAGTACTACATACCCGTGCTTCTTCTAGCCACATCCCCGTGTCGGGGGTGCTGTAATGCCGCACTTCCTCCGTGTCTTCCTCGTCCTTCCGAGGCTTTGTCACAAATCCTGCGATGTGGTGGAATGCGCGTAGCAGTTTTTTCACGAGCTGCCACAAGCATGCACACGAGTGGTCACTGGTCTGCCCATTTCCGCGGGGAGACAAACCATCATGCAGTCGCCCAGATTCCAATCGCATGTACCCATGTACTCACCAGCTCAGTATCCCGGTAGTGCAATCACTGACATAACACTCTCATCACCGTCGCTAGGCAATTCCGGCTTCACTCTGCCTCAGTACATGTACAGCTCGATCAGAGTGTTGAAGCCGTCGTCAATCACTGACATAACACTCTCATCACCGTCGCTATCCTCTTCTACGCCGTCGGGAGGGTCGGGTTGATCGGTAACTGCAGCCGGTTCCACTGCGGCCCTCTCAGCAGCGTCACCTCCATAGCTGCGACGAGAACGCGCGGGTGAACGGGGCCTTGCTGCGCGTCGGGCACGCAGCGCGTCCCGATACGCCTCCACCAGCCGCTGGGCACGAGAGTGCTGTATCTTCCTCCTGCACTTGACATTCTTAGACACATGCGACTGGAGCGTGTTGTCGTCTACGTGCTCCAAGCCGCATGCCTCGCATGCGTTACCCAGCATCGCAAGAGGTGGCGCGAACCCTGATTGCAAATTACCGATAAACACTGCCACTCTTGCAGAACCTCTAATGTACCAGCAAACACCTCTGTCATGGTACGACCACCCGAATCGGTGACGCTGACAAAGTTCACGGTGTAATACGGTGAATGTGTACCCGTTTTTTAGTATAATTGCATGAAACTGATCAAGCATGAGATATCATCGGTTTTGGACGGTTGAATTGGCCCTTCACACCGAAAGCTCTTCCCCATCAGACCATCGCTCTGCCACTGGGCTCAATGTACAGCTCAACCTATCCAACATGACCGCACCCGAACGACACCCCAACACTTCACTGTACACTGGCGCCATCCTGACCACTGATCTTACACGTTATCGCCACTGTGCGGATGTTTGGTGGCGCACAACGTCCGAATGACGTTACTACATGTGTCTACACCTCTAACGTGTGTGGGCAGGAGTGCGGAAGGATGTGCTTACGTGGCGGATAATGTCCGTGTACAATGACGCTCTCAGTCATTCCAGCGTCCATCCAGAGTAAGCTATTAGAGCTTGTATTCGCGGCACTAAGTCAGTTGGTGTACTCCATCTCTCAACCATGGCTGAAATGGCCATGCTACTGGCTCAGATAAAGGCTCATCCAGACGACGTGTACTGCTTCGTTGAGGAGCCTCTCTTACCCACCAGGCTCCCCTTCCTTCACTCCGACAATGGACACGATGATCCGCTGCCCGGCTGGCGCATCAATGTCTGCTTCCTGTTCAATGCAACGGGGACAATCATGTGTCCGCCTCTTCTGATATTCCGCGCGGACGACGCGCGGGCACAAGGCCTTGAAACACCCCAGGATTTTACCGTGTTCGTGCGTCACAGCGTGGACGGGTTCGTCACGCCCGAGGTGCGAGATCGTCTGCTCATACCCGGCCTATTTTGTGGAATGCCGTTGCATTATACTCATGCAATCCCATATGCTAACACGACTGCCCCGTCATCGCGTGCTTCTCTTGTCAGATATTCAGCGAGTACCTGGAAGCGTTGAACGGACGGTCGTACTCTACGGACGACCATGTAATCGTACTCGTGACTTCGGACGCCCACTCGTCAACGGATCCAGTTGTTATGGAAACGACGGAGTACGGTTTCCGCGTTCAGAACCTGAGCAACCTCCGAATCATCCACATGCAGGGTCCTAAAGCGCATGGGTGCATCCATCCCGGGGTGTGCGGGGTGGTAGAGCTGTGGAAGACGCTGTACCGTTCCTCATACCTTCGCCATTTGATGATGACACAAGCGTGGCGCGACAGGGCATTGTTCCGATACGCCCCTCCCCTGTCCATCATGGTGGACTGGATGGGTACAAGGTGGAGGGACTTGACTCCGGTTTCGGTCCATCTCAGCTGGTGGCGCGCCGGCTGTGTGCCGGCATCATGGCGGTCGTCTGTGAGAGAGTTCAAAAACCCCGTTCTCTGTGTCCTGTCCAAACCTCTTGTTCAGGAACTGGGACAGCTGCAGTACATCATAGACGAGTTCGCACGGCCAGGCCACACGCTCATGCATGCCACTGATTATGCGCACTGCGAGCTGACCCTTCTACCGCCACGCGTGCAGCGCACAATGAACGACAGCCCACGCGCCGAAGACGGCCGCGAGATAGCACTGCACACGCAGCCAGGACCGCTACTAAATGACCATCGTTGTCGCAGGCGGGTGGCGCGCGTCGTCACTGAACACCTTGTCCGTCAGGCACTAAAGCTCGCCATTGATGTGCGGGACGCGCCCGAGCGGTTTGGCGCGTCGAACGATCTGGTCGTCAGTCGTCTGCGTCGGACGCCAACCAAGCGTCCCCGTCCCTCAACTGTAACTGTTATCTGATGTGCAGCGACCACGGATTGAGGCCAGCTGATCTCGGAGTAATGGTGCGGGTGGGTTTAGAGTCTGGTTTGTAGGAGTGTCAACGGCCGTCTGTGACGTCCGCTGGAGAGTGACGTGCTACGGGGTGTCATATGCATCAGAGCAACTATGGTATTGGATGTAATGTCTATTATGTTCTTGCGAAACAGTGTAAATCGAGAGCATGTAGATAGGGTTTGATCGCCACCTCGGATGTGCGAAACGAACCAACGACACGTGGTGGTAGTCCATGCTTCCCGCGAGTGGGGTATGTTTGTGGAATGTTTTATTCGTACCGAGAATAAAGCTGAGTGTTTAGTGAAAACCGAACATTAGCGAGTATGAATCACACCCAACCACTCTTGCAACCTCGCAGCCACATGCAAAGTAAACCCCAATTCCCCACCGAGGACTTCATGCATGATGCGAAATCATGACACGTGTGCCCGTCATGCATATTCACCGTTCGGCGCCTATTCTGACACAGCTGGATCTGGCGCGCTATGGTTCTGGCGCGCTATGGTTATCCTGGGGTTCCTTGTTCCAGTCTGTAGGTCTCTGAACATCAACCGACTCCGCAAAGATTCTTTGTGTTCTGCCTAATATATTCGTCCGATGAGCGGCCATTACTGCAGACACGGTTTTGGTCGCTAGAATCCCTGTACATGTATTACTGGCTACCACCACAGTACGCGTCTGAGTCTACTTAGTGCCCACCATGAACATCCAACGCATGCTTGTGCAGCGGGATAGCGTGTCCTGCGCGGCCAGTGCCCTGACCACTCTGTCTGCGGAGCAGGATCGCCGTAAGCGCAAGGTGAAGCCGGAGTTGCCACGCCCCCGTAAGGTGACATCGGCGGGCAGCGGTGTGAGGGGCGCAGGAGTGGTGCCGCCTCCGCCAAGCGACGATGTGATTGCCCGTCTTCAAAAGCCCAGCTATCAGCGCGATTTCCAGCCGTTGGCGCTTTACGGACCCCATGGAGTGGGGTGTCAACTGCCAGCACAGGACGTCCTGACGCTCGCCGACGGACAGTGTCTGGCGGACACAGTGGTGGACTTCCACAACATGTAAGCGCCAGGAACGGTGTGCCTTATACATGCTGTATGTCCTGTCTTCATATATATACTGACGAACTATATCTTGCATATGTGTGTTACAGACTACTTAACATAAGGTACCCGAAGCTGGAAGGTGGCAAAACATGGTTTGCTCTGGACACGAAGGCGTTTACGTTCGCGATAGACCTGAACAGGGCATGGCCCCTTGGACATGCGCCGTGTATTTTCGCACAGGACTACCTCGCCATCCCAGTGTTCTACGAGTAAGGCGTATACCTCCAAGAGATCATGCTGTTGTTAGTTGCCGCGTTCCAGATCAGTCGATGTCGAAACGCGTTCCCTAACATACAACATGCGTACATGTGTCAGGGGCCACTACTCGCTGGTCATAGTGACGAACCTCCGCACCATGGTCAGCGGGAAGCTATCCGAGACTGCCGAGGGCGGCGTCGAGCTGGTGCATTACGATAGTGCACAGTTGCACACTAATAAGCCAGAAGTGATGGAGGGCGTCAAGAGGTGAGCGGTGAATCTTATATTTGTGCCCTGACCAATCATGATAAATTCCGTTGATGCGAGGTATAACGAACACCGGTAACGTGCTTTATTTGCAGGATGCTGCTCCTTCTACACAAAGCTCAGCTGCCCACTGCCGACCGGAAGCAGGCGGAGGACCATGTGAAGTATGCCGAAGTCTACGTAATGCATGTGAGTGCACTTCATGTCGCATCCATGTCGCGGGCAGGCGCGTCGGTCAATTGACGTGTGCCTTCTCATGTTATGTGTTTCCTGGCAGCCGGAAGACCACCCACAGCAGGCGAACGCAGTAGAGTGGGATTTATGTCGGCATGTATCTTCGCGCCCTGGTTTCATCCGGCTTTTCAATCCTCAAACAGTTCATGACGTTCTACGGCGCGAAGTCCCACGCATACCGGCGCCAGCTCCGCGAGGAGGTGTCCCTCCACGCCACAGGTGACCTTATTGTGAAGCTGTTTGGGGAGGGTGTGGATGTTCCCGTGCAGCCTCTTCCCCAGGTGGGAGAACACGGCGCCCTCGTCTTTCCCAAGGAGGACGAAGTCCGCACGGACCTCGCGAGGCAGTCAGGCATGATAGCCCGTATGGAGATTGGGGGTTATGTTGTGTGTGCGGCTGTCATGGGCCTGGCACGTTCGCTAGGCATTTCGGAGGAACAACTGCTGAGTGGAGCGGCACACGAGCTTCAGGCACACAGGACGCCTCTGCTGACTCTGTCCACGTCCAAGAACCCCGTGGAGCACGCAGCATCTATGCGGACGCTCGGCATGTCCATCCACCCGGCTCCATGTCCGCTTCCGCAGCCATCGGTCCCGTCTGCGCATTTCGAGGGGGCGTCACCCAGTAATGGTGAGCCCACACCTGCTGATGTCAGGCCCAAGAAGGAGAAGCAGGATCTCCCAGCCGCACCCGTGACTCCGGCACCACAGCCGATGGTCTCGCGCTCTGCCAGGTATCGCCTCCGTCCAGGGATCAGGACTGCAGGACGGCTTGTGCGTCAGACCAGCATGCTTACCGTGTACGGTGGGCGGCCTGCATCCAGCCGCTGGACAGGTGTGAGTTGGTGCGCACGCGGCCGAAAGTGGGGTGTCAAGATGGTGTGCGGCCCAGGCACAGGTCAGCAGATTCGGCTGGGCGCATATACTGTGGAGCTCGATGCGGCGTATGCGTATGCCGCGGCAGCCTTTGTAATCAGGCGTAATGACCACATCCAGCACGTGAAGGAGCTGACGGACGAGGAGAAGGAGTGCCTGGTGGGGTGTGTTCGCGACGACGTGCGTCATCTGGTCAAGGCACGGATGTGGTGGAGGTGGCGTCAGTGGAGGACAGCGCTGGCAGAGCTGGGCATCGAGCGTGGTACTCCATTCCCACTGGAAAACAGTGGCACTCGGTCGCCGGACAACAGCAGCAGCGATGAAGACGTGCAAGACAGGATGGGTCATGGTGTGGAGACGGTGTGCGATTAGGCGCAACGGACATGGAGTACGTATATGTAGTGGCACTGAGGCATGAACTGGAACTGGCACATAAACTGGACGAGGCTGCTAGCTGTGCTTGAGGCAGACTTACTGACGTTGGACCTGTATAGGAAGCATCGTACTATGTGTGTCTTGTGATGCTAGATGTAGTACTGTCTCCTGTTGTGTGGAGTCAACTATGCGCTGATGTCGCACTGTGGGTGTCAAGCAGGTGGGCGCATAATGAATATTATCCATTGTCTGAGTACACAGTCGCGTATGACTTTTACGAGCTTCACACAATGTGTTGCATTTGTACGATTGGCGTGACTCTATAACGCGATATATGGATAACTTTGCATCAGGGTTGAGCCATGTGGGCAAAACCCGCCAGAGGACGACCGCAGCCTGTCCGACAATTGATGGCCACGTGTAATGGGGGGGTAACGCACAGATGCACGATTGGCGTGGACTCACATTGCGTAAGTAGTGGACAATGTGTCCGCCAAAGTCATTCCTGCCCACAACTTTCGTACACAATAGACAGTTTCACCGTGTCATCACGTGAGGGGAGGAGTCAGCGCGTGTCACAGCCACCTGCCTACCTACGGAACTCTTACCTCCTGCCTGGGAACGTTAGGCGTAAGGTGACGAAGAAGCCTCGCCTGGATGTTTCGAAGCATGCCAACGAGCAGCAAGCCAGGGGTCCTCCCTCGCCGCCACGTGAGTAACCAACCCCAGACGCACTGCCAATGTGTTTGCCGCTTCGTCTGTTGTTTCCCGGCCTTTTTCGATTATCCGCAGCATGCACGTATGTGCTTTCCGCTTGTCACTTAACACCGTTGTTTGTTTACTGGTGTGAGATGCAGCCGTGCCACGGTCTCATGGGACTCGGGCAGACTCGCGTATGTCGCATGGGAGCACTTCGGAAGGTAGTTCCTCATCTGCACTGTCAAGCCGGCAGGTTGACGGAACAGCTGCTTCCAGCGGAAAGGCTGGTCGCAGGCGCAAACGTCCTGTTCAAGACGTGGTCGAGGGCTCTGCACGAGTGGACGGGGAACCTGACGCACCTCCGGCGCCATCATCGGACGACGATCCAAACGTGGCTCTCCCCAGACGTAACCTAGTCCACGCTCAAGACGAGGATGGTGCGGAAGCGGAGAACAATGCTGATTCCGACGCAGAAGAGGATGACGCCGGCGCGAGGCGTGATCCCAATGACGCACCGGTCACTCGTGAGGAGCTGCAGAGCATGAGGGAGCTCCATGAGGAGACGGCACGTGCGATTGCAAGGTTGGAGACGGCGTTCATTGCGAAGCCCAAGGATGACGGCAGTGCTAAGAAGAGGAGGAGGCGCAAGCGCGGCTCCGGCAAGGGAAAGCGCCGGAAGGCGCGGCGGGCACGCTCCACGTCAGAGACGGCGTCCGATGAGGAGGGGGGGTTCGACGACGAGGACGAGGGCCACCTTCGTCACTACCCATCTGCCATTATGCAGGAGGCGCTTGACCTACTCCCGACCGACAAAGGCTGGAAGGTAACATGTGTGGGAGAGTGTGCCGCATACAGAGGGGACCGTGTGTGGCGGTTGCTGACGTAATGTATGGTCTTACATGGCAGGAATTATGTGAGCAGGCACGCACCGAGCTGTTCGTTCGGCGCTCCAACGCACAGCTGACGTTCTACCCCAGCAGCGCCGCCAAAACTTGGGCCATCTGTGCAGTCGTGGATAACCTGACGGAAAGCTATGCAAGCGTGGCTCTCGCGGCGTGCAAGGCAAGTCGGGTCGACCTGAACAGGTCGTGCAGCGACTGGAAGACAGCGGCGGCAGGGAGAGTCCGAGACATCGGGCTGCCGAAGATTGGACTTTTTCGCCACGAACGAGACATGAAGAGTCCATGGGCGACCAAGGCGAGGCGCACCCTCTCCCGGATCCGAAATAGGGTCGGCCTTGGCGACGTACTGGTGGGTAAGGGGGTGCTACAACAAAAAGGGAATTAGGGAGTGATTTACATATGCATAGATAACCGTCATCTAATGCGCGCTTTGTTCATGCGTTACGTGGCAGGAAAGCTGCGGCTGTTTAGCTGGAGTTGCTCCCGTGAAGGGATGCCGTTCGCGTCTGGGGCGTTTACGGCCTGCGCGCGTGCGGTGTTCAAGCCAAGGATGGTCAACGGGACTGTGACACTGAAGCTCTACCACGTGGCATGGCTGGAGCACGTGGTACACAAACACCGTGGTCATTTAGACTACCGACAATACCTGGGCGAGTGTCCTCACGTGCGCGTTTATGTGGTTTGCCGTGCGCAGGTGACAGATGCGGTCAATCACTGGGAGGAGCGCCAGGGTCGCTTCGCCAACCCAATCCGCGAGCACCAACGCGCAGATAGTGGACGGCCTCCACGTCCTTGTCAAGGCTGCTGTTAGGGCCGCCATCGCGGATTTCCGACCAGCATATGACGAGGCGTCCCAGAGCTGGGAGTGGGGCCGCCATGGTCTCCGCATCTCGGCTGACGGCATCGCCGCCGTCGAAGCAGTGACCGCAGAGGCAAGCGTCAGTCGCGGTACTCCGCAGGCCTAATCAGGGGAACAACAGGAGGCGATGCGTGCCATCGTATGCCGGTGCGAAGAATAGTGGATAAAATATATATATAATGCATGTGTGGTGGCGGAGTAAGGGAACGACGGTGGGCATTGTGAGGCGGCCATTGCAAAGGAGGTGTGGCCCGGCTTCGGCCTCGCATACTAGCGTCGTAATGTTTGTGTGCGTATCTGTTTTGACGGAACAAGAGAGCCTGGAAGATTTATCGTATACGTGTTCATTAGTATGCGGGGAAGATAACCAGTCAACCAGACTGCAAATTGTATAATGAGGCAGACACTTACTGCGCACGGCGAGAAATGGTCACAACCGCATAATGCGCCTCGGATGTGTGCTGTTGGGTGCGGGTAGATAGTGGTGGCGATTCGGCTTGGGACGGTCCAACCCACCACATCGTATGGCCGTGCGTGCCCTATGCCTACTGGAGCCGTAGATGCGACTGCAGTGGCAAGCATGTGTAACGTTGGATGTTGGTGTGGTAGACGGTCGAGGGCGGGACATATGGGCCAGCATCGTTGGCACCGTGTAACGTGTACTTTGGCCACGTGGGCCTTCATTTACGGACGGGAGTAATCCCACGTCAACAATGGTGAGATACTGCTGGCGATCGAGACCGCGACATATCGTCGATGCGTGTGTACGTGTACGGTCGGATGCACAGGTAGCTTACACATGCATAGATCAAGACATAGTTACAGCCGTACACCTGGTACCTAATTCAACGGCATCTGACGAATCCACGTAGTGGGATGGCGACATGCTGTGCCAAACTTCGACCAATGGGGATATGGAGAAATCATGGGATGGCGCTTGGGCATTGGTCACATCGGACGACAACAAAGGGTTTGGATGCAATTCCAGGTTGATCGTGGTCGTCCACGTGAAGGCAGTTGGTTGGACAGGACCATGGTTCGAGTCGCTTTGTAGTGTACAAGTACTGTAACTGACGGTATGTCACGCTGACGTCATGGTCGCCACGTGTATGGTTCTCGTAAGATTGCGTCTAATTGTGGCATTTGTTATTCACCCCACCGATTAGTTCCCGTGGTGACCGGTGCGTGACTTGCATGTGACCGAGCAGTGACGGTGGCTGGGACGCGGGAGAAGCTTTTACGTGACATTTCCGTGACATCGCCGTCACATTGGAAGTGACGGTGGGTTCGGTACTTTCATCCATCACCTTTTTACCCCAAAAAAACGTATACGAAAATGTGACGGAAATGTCACATTTTCGTATCTTCTGGCCCTTGGCTTTTCCGCGATGTCTCAAGCATCAGCACCTTGGAAGATCTCACCATTTCTAACAGCAAACTATCCAGTCTGCCTGAGAATCTTGAAGACTTTTCAAGGCTGAAGTCGTTAAGAGTGTTGAAGAGTTTTTGGCTTTCTAAACTCCCAGATTCCATTAGGTTACTCACAGCGCTTCAGAAGCTGTCCATTGACTGTATGGACATGGACATCCTCCCTGCAGCAATTTCATGCTTGACTGCTCTTCAATCGTTGAACATCAGCCATTCAAAGTTGACATTGGTCCCGGAGGAGATAGGCGAGCTGATCAGTCTTCGCACTTTAGTGCTAATCGGGAAACGTTCCCTGCAGAAGCTGCCGTCGTCATTCAGTCGTCTCTCTTCTCTAACACAGCTGGAGATTAGTATGTGCGGTATTGTTAACCTTCCAGAGGGTACCTGCCAGCTGGGTGACCTGCGAGAGTTGACGTTGAGCTACTGCTATGAGCTGACAGAGCTGCCAGAATGCATCACTCAGCTGAGCCGTTTGGAATCTCTCAAGGCTCACAGTTGTGTCAAGCTCGCATGTGCACCTCGAGCCATGGGAAACCTCTGATGCCTGCGGGAGCTGGATCTTACGCGTTGTTCTCAGTTAAAGCAAGATATAGAAACTCTGCCATGGTTTCTGGGAACGTTGCGCTTGGGAAACAGCACCAGCAGCATCATACTTCCTGACATGTCAACGGCTCCAAATCTTAAAAAGCTGTGGTTGGATCAGGTTGCTATCATGGACGCACCAGCAAGAACCCATCACCTCTCCCAGTTAGAGCACCTGGAGATGCGCATGGCCACTAACCAAAGAGAGTTTCCACTCCTGCCTGTGCTCCTTTCATGCCTCCGTGTTCTGCACATCTCAGATGCCGTGTCCCTGCAACACCTGCCTCATGATATCGGGTCCATGTCTCAGCTGCGACAACTGCATATAGGAGCGACAAATTCTATGCGGGAGATTCCAGAAAGTGTGGGCCAGCTTTTCCAGCTCACATCTCTCCATGTTGAAGCTCCAAAGCTGACCCACCTTCCGGAGACCATCTGTTCCTTATCAAGATTGTGCGACCTCAGCCTGCATTATTGCTCCTCCGTGACAAGCCTGCCCTGCTCTTTCACCGCCCTCACCTACCTGCACAGATTGGACGTCAGCAGCACATCACTTCAAGTCCTCCCTCCCAACTTCCGCTCCTTAAGAAGACTCAGAGAGCTGAAGCTGAGGGACTGTGAGCGGCTTCAGTCCCTACCATCACAAGAGCTGCGGTACATGACGATGCTGCGACTGCTGGATGTTTGCGGCTGCAAGTTGCTTGGCCCAGATCCGGTGCCTAGTGATGTTTATCTGAGGCATGGACTCGATTATCTTCGTAACTTGTACAGCTGAGAAGCCCTTTGGATACCAGTACATGAGAGAACATTTAAAGACTGTGAACTAGCGGAAACTTAAATCCCTGTTTCATTCAAGTTCTCCTAGAGTCAGAAAAACAAAGTTTACGGTAAACTTAATAAATGGAAAACGGTTTAATATGTCAAACTTTGCTGATATTGGGGGTAGTTGCAACTTTGGGCATTCTGCTGTTACTCCATCTCATACCACCCATCCCACCTCTTGCCATCCATCCCATCCCATGTCATTCATCCCATCACTTGCTAGATTCATGTCATTTATCAATCCTATTTGATGCCATCCATCCCATCTCGTGCCATTCTCCCATCCGTCCCGTCACATCCCAGCAATCCCATCTTACGCTATATCCTTCCATGCACATCCCTCCCATCTCATACCATCCATCCATCCATCTCATGCCACCAATCCCATCTCATGCCATCCATTCCATCTCGTGCCATCCATTACATTTCAAGCCATCTGTTTCATTACCTAGAATAACATCTATCTTGCCTCATTCTATCCATACCTCGTCATGCCATCCTTCTATCTCATGCCACCCAGCCCATTTCGTTCCATTCGTCCCATCTTATCCATATGCCATCCACCACATCTCATAGCATCAGTCCCATCTCATTGCGTCAGTCCCATCTCATAGCATCAACCCCATCTCATGGCATCCATCCCATCCCATAACATCAATCCGATCTCATAGCATCAATCCCAACTCATAGCATCAATCCCAACTCATAGCATCAATCCCAACTCATAGCATCAATCCCAACTCATAGCATCAATCCCAACTCATAGCATCAATCCCAACTCATAGCATCAATCCCAACTCATAGCATCAACTCCAACTCACAGCATCAATCCCAACTAATAGCATCAACCCCAACTCATACCATCAAACCCAACTCATAGCATCAATCCCAACTCATAGCATCAATCCCAACTCATAGCATCAATCCCAACTCATAGCATCAATCCCAACTCATAGCATCAATCCCAACTCATAGCATCAATCCCAACTCATAGCATCAATCCCAACTCATAGCATCAATCCTAACTCATAGCATCAATCCCAATTTATAGCATCAATCCCAACTCATAGCATCAATCCCAACTCATAGCATCAATCCCAACTCATAGCATCAATCCCAACTCATAGCATCAATCCCAACTCATAGCATCAATCCCAACTCATAGCATCAATCCCAACTCATAGCATCAATCCCAACTCATAGCATCAATCCCAACTCATAGCATCAATCCCAACTCATAGCATCAATCCCAACTCATAGCATCAATCCCAACTCATAGCATCAATCCCAACTCATAGCATCAATCCCAACTCATAGCATCAATCCCAACTCATAGCATCAATCCCAACTCATAGCATCAATCCCAACTCATAGCATCAATCCCAACTCATAGCATCAACCCCAACTCATAGCATCTATCCAAACTCATAGCATCAATCCCAACTCATAGCATCAATCCCAACTCATAGCATCAATCCCAACTCATAGCATCAATCCCAACTCATAGCATCAATCCCAACTCATAGCATCAATCCCAACTCATAGCATCAATCCCAACTCATAGCATCAATCCCAACTCATAGCATCAATCCCAACTCATAGCATCAATCCCAACTCATAGCATCAATCCCAACTCATAGCATCAATCCCAACTCATAGCATCAATCCCAACTCATAGCATCAATCCCAACTCATAGCATCAATCCCAACTCATAGCATCAAACGCAACTCATAGCATCAATCCGAACTCAAATCATCAATCCCAACTCATAGCATCAATCCCAACTCATAGCATCAATCCCAACTCATAGCATCAATCCCAACTCATAGCATCAATCCCAACTCATAGCATCAATCCCAACTCATAGCATCAATCCCAACTCATAGCATCAATCCCAACTCATAGCATCAATCCCAACTCATAGCATCAATCCCAACTCATAGCATCAATCCCAACTCATAGCATCAATCCCAAGTCATACCAAAAATCCCAACTCATAGCATCAATCCCAACTCATAGGATCAACCCCAACTCATAGCATCAATCCCAACTCATAGCATCAATCCCAACTCATAGCATCAATCCCAACTCATAGCATCAATCCCAACTCATAGCATCAATCCCAACTCATAGCATCAACCCCAACTTACAGCATCAATCCCAACTCATAGCATCAATCCCAACTCATAGCATCAATCCCAACTCATAGCATCAATCCCAACTCATAGCATCAATCCCAACTCATAGCATCAATCCCAACTCATAGCATCAAT